AAAGGGTTAATTAAGGACAGTGGCAACACTAAGGAGATGCAGGTAGCATAGACCATAGTGAGTGATAATATCTGAGAAGGTTACACAAAAATATGACTGACAATAAGAGGTGAAAGAGGCAGCAGTGAGAGGAGTTGGCTAAGGAGGAATTTGCTTGTCCCTTTCTCTGGGTCAAGTACCATAACTACTTCTGTTCTTGCTGATGCTGTGGAAAGAGCAAGCAACAGGGAGCAAAACAAATCTTATTGGTTGGTGGCAGATCCTCTGTTGAAACTGAAAATACACTGGCTCACATTTTCCTCTAGTACAGTGTCTTTTTCAGGAATTTCCTCATAGCCACTTGTACGATCATCTGGGGAGGCCCTGCTAATTATCTCCCCATCATCGCAATCGCGTTTGGTGGGGAGAATGGACAGGGCCTTTTCTGTGGTGGCCCCTCGAATGTGGAACTCCCTCCCAAGCAAAATTAGATCTGCTCCATCCCCCCTGATCTTTCTGAAACAAGTGAAATTGTGGCTACGGGATCAGGCTTTTGCAGACTAGGCTGACTTACTGACAAAGCGACAGCTTTAATGGACTTGACGGACTGTTTTTAGGACGATGACTTAAATCAGTGACTGTTTGACTGTTTCAATGTTTTTATACTGTTTTTAATATTGTTTTATTTAAATTGTTTATTTATGCTTTTGGTTGTGGGCACCATGGTGTGCTGGTTGTTAGCTGCCCTGAGTCCTTCTGCGGAGGTCAAGATAGGATGGAATACAAATGTCCAAAATAAATAAATAATAAATAAATTTTAAGGGGGGGGGGGATTGCAGGTGCAGATACTACAACAAAGCAACCCATTTCCCACTGTAGCTATGAAACGGGAAAACTCCCCACTCCCTCCATCGTTGAAATGTTGCCTCTGCCCCTTGCACTACACCACCAAGTTGATACCTGAGAGAGCTTCTCTTTACTATTAATCTGCCCTGAGTCCCCCTTGGGGAGATAGGGTGGAATATAAATAAAGTTTTGTTGTTGTTGTTCCAAAACTACCATACACAGAGGGAATCAGACAATACAGTTCAGGTAAATACCCCAAAAACATAACATCACATTTTATATTGGAAGCTATGCAGGTTCAGTCTTGTTAGTACTTGGATGGGACACCACAAATGAATGCCAGGTGCTAAAGACTACATTTCAAAGGAAGGAACAGGATTCGGTATAGTCTGATACAGAAGGTGGTCCAAAGGGGATGACACATAAGTTACTGCACTGGGTGACACCAACCCTAGTGGTGCCACAGCTTAGGCAGAGGACTGCATCAGGTTTGGCTGCCATAAATCTGACTTCCCCCTTCTCTTTGTGATAGGCCAAGCCACAAATATTGCACTTTCTCCTTACTCTGTAGTTTCAGTCTTAGTTTCTGTCTTCTTTAAAAACTAGTACAGAACCTTCTGGCATTGACATCCCATTCGACTCTTAAAAGGGAAGGTATCTTTGAACAAATTTGTTCTCTGTTAAAGAGCATGAAATGTCTTTCCCTGATGCTCCTATCCCTTTGATTTCCGGGGAAAAGAAACCACTCAGAAGGGGAGGGCCGTATCCCTTGCTCTAGTTTGTTCTTGGATATGAAGCCAAGCAGGCTTGGAGGGGTTTTTCAAACTGGCTTGTGCTTCTTTTTGCTTCTTTCTGAAGCTTAATGATAGCCAATTATAGACTACCAGGATTCCAATTATAGGCTTCTTTAACATAGCAATACTAAACTCCTCTAGTCTCTGTGGACTACGAGTGAGATTTGTTCAAAGTTTTTTCCACCTTATTTGAAAGTTCAGAGAGAAGTGTGCATCCTGAGTCACAAGGGATATGTGTTTTGTTTTAAATAACGATTTACATTATATGCACAGTTAATTGGATGCTGATGCTAAGTACAACAAAAAACAATTTCAGTGGCATTGGGTACTACACAGAGATGAAGGCAGCAGGGATCACAAGGACCCGGTGAGACCTGTTGCTCACAGTAGATATTTGAGATCTAAGAGTACAGTCCAAATCCCTTGATCTTAACTCCTTACAGAGAGGGCCTATAGCAGAGGGCCAGGATGCAATACTAGGATCTAATGTAGTGGCATCTCTATTTGCTTCTGTCTTCCGCAGATCTGTGGCATTTCTTATGGGAAGAAAGCTATTCACTCTTGCCTCTCATATTAGTGGTAACAAATAAAGCTGCATTTACTTTCACAGTAGGGATGTAATTTTGACCAACTTTCTTCTCAATGGAAGCTATGAGTAATTTTGGCATTTCTTTTTTGCTGCAAGGAAGTCTTTGAAAACTTCAGTTTTTAAAGGCTAGTCACAATTTGAGAATTATTCCATTCAAAATTCACACATTGTTGTTTTGCACTGAAAACAGCATTTTGTACAAAACACACCATGTATGAATTTTGGATTAAATAGAACCCAAACAGCAATATAGAAATGGCTTTGGAGTCACTAGTTCTAAAGCAACTCTATTCCCTTGTGAGAATCCTGACCTAGAAGTCTTATTTAATCCAACCTGGAGTGTATTGTTCAAAATTCCATCCTGCTGCAACCAACAAACAGGAAAATTCTAGAATCCTTCCTTTGTGTAGAAAAATAGGAAAGGAAACCATACTTTCCTACCTTTTGCCTCAAACAGGGCAGGCTGATATGGCAATGGTTGAGAAAATAATGCCAGCTTCTTCCTTCAGTCCTGCTCTACTTGGGACTGATTTCCTAATTTATGTGGGGTGCTTGTTGCTTTTTCATTAGCATATAATCTGAGGTGTTCAACCTTTCATAACTTTGTCAGGCATCAACACAAGAGAGTTCACTCCTATCCTAGTACGATAGTGCTCTGGCAAAACTGCACTGTGCTCAAACTCTTAGAAATATATTTTCTTTTCATATTCGTGTTTAAGAGTTCCTTTGATTATTCCAAATAACTTGTAAAACTCTTCTAAAACTACAACATATCCATTGGAGCAATGTGAAAGGAAACAGTGTATGAAAGAAAGAGACATTCACACAATTGCTCATATATTAGTAGCTTGACCCTAGCCAATGTACTGCCTGAGGATGATGAGATGTTGTCGAAAACATCTAGAAGACACCTGATTGTTGAAATAGTAACCACAAAATAAAAAAGGAGGGGAAACCCAAATGGCTGTGGATTTCTTTTTATTTGGTCCCAGGATACTCACAACTGACTTTCTATATAACCTTGGGACTGGCTGATTCATGCATCATACTGCAGTTTACCCATCTGTATCTATAATGTTCATCCATCTCCTAACCATTTATGAGTTCATATTTTTCATTTGTTGACAATTTTTGAGATTATCAGAGGTGATATGTACTTGGCCCATTGAAATTATTTGTGTTAACTGAGTTTGCCCTGAGGGGTGCATTAGTTTATTTTAAAAACTACTGATAGAAAAAGAAATACCCCATGCCCTATATATAATGCCCAAGAGAAATTATAAGCTGGAGTAAAGCTTCCATATTTCAGATGTGATATGAAGGTTTGATGGGATTGCCTAGAAAGGTCTATAAAACAAATTCAGTTTAGTTTTTAAAAATCTTGTTGATTTCTTTTACTCTTTTAATCAGTTTTATCTCGAATCATGAGAAGAAGAGTCATAAAATAGAATCTAGTAGATACAAATACATAAATAGCAATGAGATTACTCAACTCAGGCTTTTGCCCCTTAAAAGGAAAACAGGTTGGATGATATATGGTATATCTATACCTGGAAAAAAGTTCACCTTTCACTTTGGTCTTTTGTACCATGGATATCCAACCACTTTTCTCCTTAAGGGCTACATGCGATGCTGGTTGAGATGGAGAGAATAGGACACTAGCAGTAGGAAAAGCAATGTATATGATGTGTGTGTGTGTGGGGGGGGGTGGGTGGGTTGGAAAATGTAATGACAGGGAAAATTATATAAAGTTTATACCTTACATTGTTTTTCTTTTTAGTAATGCCTGCCAACGTCATTACTTTTAGCATTGTAATGACAAGCACATTATGAGTAATACTACTTTGACATATTGACAGGTCATTTGTGGTACTTAGGGGGCATTATTTGGCCATTTGGCTTTATTTTTTAAAAAATGTTTGTGCATTAGACTGATGGAAAGTTAAACTCAGAGCACTTTAAATATTGTAATATTATTTAAATCTCTAGTATAAGGAATGATATAAATTTTTAGTGAAACAAATACATAATGTTGTTTGCGATTTCATGTAGAAAATTCTATGTAGAAAAATATTTACAACTATAGCTAGCATTGATTTTCTCGCTTTTGCATTTGCTTTATATTAAGATTCATCTCCCATTTTATGTCTGTAACATCTTCCTGAACTAGTTATGTTTTGGTTTGTGATCTCCCCCTTTCTCTTTTCTGCACTTTCTTCGCTTTACTTCTGCCTCCTGCTTTTTGTCTCCTATTGTCAACCTATGTCATACCAAGTATTCAAAATGTCTTTCAATTTGCCAGAGAAACTATTGGTATCATTATCATGTTACATAGTGGTGGTGATGATAAAGGTGTTTCCACCTTCAAAAAACAACAGAAGACTAACATATTGTGTTCTATTACCATTTTGATTGAGTTGTACATCTGAATACACATTCCCTTCCACATGTCTTACAAAGGAATTGCACCTCATTAACACAATTGCCTGGTTTTGCATAAAATACTCTATCATGCTACCTCAAACAAGTTAACTTAAGAATAATTATAGAAGGAAAGCTTCAATTTCCCCCTGTTTCCTGGGATTGAGGGGCCCTTCTGGACAATGACGGATGAGCTGCTGACAAAAAGGGCATTTTGTTCAATTTCATGTCATTCCCTCTCACTCAAAACTCTCCTGTGTTATGGTGTTCAAGTCTGTGGTTGTCCTGCCTATTAGGCTTCCTTATACTCTGTAAATGTGAAGTGTTTTATGAAACGGAATTAGGAATTTTCCATCTACTTCCACACTTAC